GTTTCTCTCTCATCAGTGTTTCTAACTCTCTATCCCTCTCCCTTCCTCTCTGTAAAAAATCAATAAAATATATTTTTAACAAAACAAGCAGTGTCTCACACACATTCCCGAGATTAGCTCTTCTTGCCCTTCCTCACATCCAGGGACAGCAGCACCCCCTTTCCCGTCTCTCTGCACCCCCACCCAGTCAGGCCCACAGGGCAGGGCAGGCTCGGGGAGGGCACCCCATTCCGCTCACAAGGTCCCCCCTTTGAGCCAGCCGCTGCCTGCCCCTGGCGGGGGCTGACTTCTTTTTTACATGCTCCTCCCCTCACCAATCGCTGGCTTCTTGCTTTCGCTTTAGGTGCCTAATTTGTCTCCGTACCCACTAGTTTTTGTTTGTAACCTTGCCAAAAACAAGCAGAATCAGAAAATACTCTTGGGCTCTCTTTTGGAGTATAATCTTAGCTTTGTTCCTTTCTGTTTCTTTCCTCTGAGAGATTTGTGTTTTCTCTCTTTTACTTTTCTCTCTCTCTCTCAGTTCTTTGGCAGAAAGGCATTCTCAAGGTTTTAAGGTCTTAGGGAGAAAACACACACACACACACACACACACACACTGTCCTGGACCCCCGCCACCCTGACCCGCATCGTTCTGACCCGCAGCGCCCTCACCCACACCGCCCTCACCCGCAGCCACCCTGTCCCGGACCATCAGCACTGGCAGGAGGCGGTTCTGTGGGCCCTGACAGACCAGCTCCCACGCTGAAGGGACCCCCTTCCTCCTGAATCCATTCGAGAACCCCCAGTGTAATGAGAGGAGGCGGCAGGGAAAGGGGGGGGCTGCCGAGGGGAGACCCCGCCTTCGCGAAGCCTGGAGCCTCAGTTTCCCTGTGATGCCTATTCTCATTCCCGCCAGTGAGGAGGGTGGAGGGGGGGCCCCGTGGGAAGACAGCAAAGGATGGGGAGGAAAAGCCAAGGACCGGACAGGGCCCTCCCTGGGGGGCGATCCCATGGTGTGGCGGTGAGAGGTTTGCTAAGGAAGCCGAGGAGAAGGCAGGAGGCCCACTATTTGTGCCCCAGGCCCTGCCCTCAGGGAGGGAGGAGAGTCCACCGTTTGGCCAGACAGTTCCCTCGCTGACCATGAGGTGGTGCCATCAGCCCAGACAGTCACCCAAGGGGGCAGGGCCTGCAGAAGGAGGAACTCTCCACGGGGGACGCCACGTTACCCACCCAGGCTCTGGCGCTCAGAAAACCTGGACTAGGCGACACCCATCAACCTGCACGTCACTGCCCCCACCCCCACCCCACGGCCCACCTGCTCCGCCTGAGCAGCAGCACCTGCCATGCCATCGGCAATCCCGGCCCACGTGGAGACCAACGGAGACTTCGTTCCTCTCCTCCTCCGCATCCTCGCATCCAGCCCGTTTCCGAATCCCAAAAGAGCTAGCCCTTCCTCACGTCTCCTCCTTCATGCCGTCACCAGGACAAGGTCCTGTATGGGGAGCACAGACTTGCCCCAAAGGCCTGACAGCAGGGCCCCGGAAACCCTGCCTGCCTCCCCTTCCAGTTTAACACCAAACTCAACCCTATTCCAGGCACAAGCCCCCCTCCCTCCCCTCCAGCACCGATCCCTGCTGACCCTCCCTCCCGGGTGCCCTCCCTTTCCCTTTCGCCTGCCCCCTCCTCAGCATCCAGCCCAGGTTCCCTCTGCCCCAAGACCTGCTCGTGAAGTGCCTAGCTCAGTGGTCGGCAAACTCATTAGTCCACAGAGCCAAATGTCAACGGGACAACGATGGACATTTCTTTGGAGAGCCACATTTTTTAAACGTAAACTTCTTCTGACACCACTTCTTCAACATAGACTCGCCCAGGCCGTGGTGTTTTGTGGCAGAGCCACACTCAAGGGGCCAAAGAGCCGCCTGTGGCTCGTAAGCCGCAGTTTGCCGACCACGGGCCTGATTGATTTTAACTGGTGAGTCGGAGTTATCGAGCAAAGTGCGGGTCCCATGCGTCAGCCACAGAAGCCCTGGGGTGTCTGGACAGGCCTGCCTCGTCCTGCTAAGGCTGGTGGGGCCTCACAATGAGGAGGGCTGATCCCGCAGAATCCCTGCTGACCCTCAGGGCAACCCCAGCCGGCCCAGCCCGGCTCCTCCCAAGTCTCCATTCCCAGGGAGGGCGGACGCCAAAGCCGGGAGCTCCGTGTGTGGCACAGCGTCTGTTCCCAATTCGCATCTGCTGGAATAACTACCGTGTTGCTGTGATTACCGTCCCTCTCCACTCCCACTCCCATCAGCCACTCTGCCAAACCAGGCCTGAGTTCCAGAGCTGACAGAATGAGGGCGCGAGATCGTGACCAGTTCACCATTCTGGGCCACCCTATCCTCCCCTGCCCCCAGGCCTGGGGCCTAACTGACTCCACGGCGTTTACCCTGCTCCAGTGGACTGGCTGGGGGGTGCTCTCCTCTGCCTGCCAGGCCCCCGCCAAGGGGCCCAGAGGGAAAACCGCAGGAGCCAGCGCCTGTGCTTGCAACTCCTCAGAGTCCAGCGGCCATGTGCCTTCACTTCTGCAGGGGCCGTGGGCTCAGTGGGAGATGGGGGCACAGCTGGAGATGAGTGTGAATCCTGAGGGCAGCCCCAAGGGGTCGTGGAGGCCAAGGCAGGACAGAGCCGAGGCCGTGAGGAAGCAGGAGCCCAAGGCCTGGGAGCCTCAGCGCCTTCCATCAAGCGGACGGGAGGGTCTGCCCCCAGCAAAGGAGGCCTGGCCCCCCAGACTGATCACTCCTGCTGCTGTGGCTCCGAGAGCCAGGCGGCCAGGTGCCCTGTGAATGTCCATGATGCTCATGGTCTCACATATGAAACAGGCAGGGAAGCCCCCCAAGCCATTCAGGGGTTTATGGGTGGGTGAGAGGCCAGAGGCACTGCTCCTTAGGCTACGCAGGAGTTGGCTTTTCAGGGATAAAGGAAGCCGGTTCGCTGTGCAAACAAAAGCAGGTTCGCAGACATGAACCACCTGCGTTCCTGCAGGCGCCCCACTGCTCCCACGGCAGACCCCAGGCTGCGGGAGGTCATGGATCCTGGAACCATGGGCGTGAGGGGTCCGTTTCTTGCCACGGCTGCAGGCTCAGGCCTCCAAAGTGGCCATTCCCTGGGGCTCTGAGAGACGGGCCGGGTGGTGGCCAGTGGCCGGGGTAGAGCGCATTCAGAAGGGGTCTTTCCTAGCCCCCTCCTCTCCTTCCGCCCGATTCAGGCCACTGGACTTGCTGGCCAGCTGCAGCCGGCGGTGGCCACCCCGCTCCCCCTCAGCCCCTCCGCCTGTGCCTCTGGGAGGGGAGCTCTGCGAGCGGCACGGCGCCAGAGGACGACCCGGCCGGCACGTCTCCGCACCCCTCCCCCGCCCGCCCGCCCGCCACACGGGGCCCGGGCGGCGGCCGTGCGTCCTGCCGCGGAGCGGGGACCCGGGGACCAGCGTCGGGGCGGCGGGTGATGAAACCTGCCCGGCGCGTTCCCGCAGCGGGAGGCGGGAGCGGGGGCGGGGAGGGGCGGGCGCGCACCGGGCTCACCTGTGCTCCGGCGGAGGGCGGAGGGCGGAGGGCGGGGCCCCTCCCCAGCCCCGCGCCCCCCGAGCGCACCGCGGCTGCCGGGCCGAGCAGTTCCTGCCCCGCCGGCGCCGGCGCGGAGACGTGAGCGAACACACGTACACATTCACACGTACACACACACACACACACACACACACACACATTCACACGTACACACACGGCGGGGAGAGGCTCCCTCCGGGCGCCCAACTTCTCCCCGCGCCCGTGCGCCCTGGAGGGGGGGGGGGCGTGCTTGGGGAGGGAGTTCTACCAGGAAGAGAAGATGGGGAGGGTTTTTGGGCTTCGGGGAGGGGGGATTGTTTTATTTTTTTATTTTTTTAACCATTTCCATGAGGTGGCCGGAGAGTCCGGGGAACCGGGGCGGGATGGGGAGCGGCGCTTGGGGGAAATGGAAGCGTAAAGTTGCCTTCGAGCTCGGACCTCACTCAGCGCCGCCGGGCCGCCCTGCCCCCACGTGGAAGCGATGCGAGAACCGTCCGTCACCTGGATCCCGGCAGCCGGCCCGGGATCCGCCTGGACGGGGAGAGGGAGACCGGGCGCCCGCGGCGCTGCACGGCCCTCCGCAGGGCCAGGAGGAGGGAGCGCGGGCAGCTGCTGGGCCGAGTCCCACATCGGGGGCTTCTGCTCCTGAACAGTTCGCAGGGGGTTAATGCAAAGCGCCCAACGCCAGGGGTTCCCCTGTGCTCGGTGCCCTCCGCATCCCTGCGCCCGGGAGACGCCGCCAGCCGGTCCGGGCGGAGAGGAAACTTTCCCGGCCGGCGCGGGTGGTGCAGCTCGCCGGGGCCGGGGGCGCTTCCCCAGGACAGACCTTCCCCGCTCGCCTGGCCTTACTGCGACCGGAGCTGCGACTCGCTTTTGTCCTGAAGCCGGTCCGGCCATTGCCCTGCAGCCCCCGCACACGCCTCCCGGCCGCGCTTCTCTCTCTCTCTCTCTCTCTCTCTCTCTCTCTCTCTCTCTCTCTCTCTCTCTCTCTCTCACACACACACACACACACACACACACACACACACACACACGCACACGCGTGCCGGCCGGCAGGTCCGCAACTTCGCGGCGCGCCCCGCGCGGAGCGGCCGCCGGGCGCAGTCGCCGGCGAGGCCCCGCCCCGCGGTGTCACGGGCCGGGGTCCGGATTGGTGCAGCCGCCGGGACAACACCTGCTCGGCTCCTTCATTCAGTGACACCGGAGCCGCCGGGGGCATCGGAGCTCCATCCCCGCCGCCGCCGGCACCCGCGGCGCCGCTCGCGGCCTGGTCACATGCTCCCCGGGGAGCTACGGGAGGGCGCAGGGTAGCTCCCGCCGCGGCCGCGGGGGGAGGAGGAGGAGGGGGAGGGGGAGGAGGAGGAGGAGGGGGAGGAGGAGGAGGGGGAGGAGGAGGAGGAGGAGGAGGAGGAGGAGGAGGAGGAGGAGGAGGAGGAGGAGGAAAGTGAGAGGAGGAGGAGCGGCCCAGGAGGAGGCAGAGGGGGAGGGGAGCACAGAGATCCCAGGTCTCCGGCGGGAGGCTTGCCCCCGGGAAGGATGAGTGCGGTGCGGCTGGGCCGGCTGGTGACCCTGGCTCTGGTGCTGGCCGCCTTGGACCCGGCGCGGGGCACCGACGCGACCCACCCGCCCGAGGGCCCCCAGGACCGAGGCTCCCCGCAGAAAGGCCGCCTGTCCCTGCAGAACACAGGTAAGAGGCGCCCCCCGGGGGAGGGGGACCCGCCGGCGCCCCGCAGCGCTCCGAGGTGCCTCGCCGGGCGGGCGGCGTGCGGAGCGGCGGGCGCGGGGCTCGGCCGGTCGGGCCGCACGTGCGGGCGGCGGGTGATGAAATCGCCGGGCGGACTTGTTGCTGCCGCCTCCCGGGCCGCCGGGTCGAGGGTGAAGGAGGCAGCGCCCGCCCGGCCCGTGCCCACCCGGCTCCCCGGGCTCCCCGGGCCGGGGCCGAGCTTCCCGGCCGTCCCGCCGAAGGCACGGGGTCCCCCGGCCGGGCTGCCCCTGCACCGCGGGGGGGGGGGGGGCGCTTCCCCGCTTCTTCTCTCCTCAAAAGATGCCTGACGCCCGAGAACTTTGCAGGCGAGATGTTGCTTGGCGAACTTTTGGGAACGCGGGTGGGGGTGGTGCACAGCCTCCTTCCTCGGCCCCCGGCCCCGCCAGGGGCAGGTCAGCCAGGAACGGCCCCCCGGCCCGGGCCCCGCGGTGGCCGCCCCTGCCCGCCCCGGGCTCACGGCGAGCTGCCAAGCGGAGTCCGGCGTGCGGGGCACGGGCTGGCCCTTCCCCGGCTCCGGGAGAGCAGGGAGATCTGCCCTGTCTCCTAGGCTGGCGGCGGCTCCTCCCCCATTGGGACCTGCGAGCCCCGCAGCCACGGGTGTGCGCTCACGGAGTGCCATGCCGTTAGGAGCTCCGGGGCGAGCGGATCGCCCAGCGCGCTCCTGCCGGCGCGGGGAGGAATCGCGCGGGACGCGCACCCCCTCCTGGGACCCTCGCCCACCCTGCCTCCCAGCACCAGCTCTTTCCCTGAACATGCAGCGTCCTCTTGGGAGCTGGGTGACCCTCCACAAATGCACGCCCCTCCTTCTCTCGGCAGCTTTAAACTGAATGCGTATTATCCACTCTACCCCTTCCTTCTTCCAAAATACATCTTTTGGGTGTCATTTTGTGGTTGAAGACCACGCAGAAGTTTGGAGTGGCAGCCTGACAGTTAGCTCCCTCAGTCTGCCCTTTCAGGTGGAGGCCCTGGGCCACATTTTGGAAGGAGGGAGCGAACCCCGGGGTCCCAGTCCCCGTCTCGGGAAATCTTAGGGGATTAAGTGACATCTCAGCCGGATCTCTGTTTAAAAGGAGTCTCTGGCCCATGCTGCCATCAGTGATCCTCTCTCATCATTCATGTTTGTCTCTCTCTCCCCCTTCCTCTCTGAAATCAATAAAAATATACAAAAAGTAACCAAACACAGGGGGTCTCTGGCTACTAGGCTGCTTCTGCCGGCCAGCCCCCCTCTGACTGCGCCATGCTCAGCCTGCTCCCAAACCAGTGTCCGGTGCCTGAGGTTGCTAAGGCCATGGTTTGGAGGCGCTGGGATTTGGTTTTGACTTTTAGGTGTTGAATCATAAAGCGGAACTGAAAGTGCTCTTTGGATGCTCTCCTTTGGGGGTCAGGGGAGGGGGCTCCCAAGTAGAGACTCAGGCATTTCATGGGTGGCCTGCAGAGGGGCAGGCTGCTCCTTTGAAATCAGACTTTGTCTGCGGCTTTAGAAAGCTGAACCAAGCTGAGAACTCCCACAAGCACTTGAATGAGATGGGGAGGGAGGGTGAAAAATGAGGTGCTCAGACCCGGTTGTGCTCTTTGTAACATAGGTTTGGCTAATTTTTTTTTTTTTTACAAATATTTACAACCACGGCTATTTCTCATAAGTAGAATAAATGGTGACATTTTCTTTCCCTGGCTTTTGCGATCCGGAGAAGTTCGTGCTAACTTTTTACCCCCTTAATTAATTAATTAATTAATTAATTAATTTATTTATTTTTGTCGTTACTTTTATTTCAACTAACCCCTCTGCCTCCCGCAGCATGCTGAGGATGCCGTCTAGGTCCGTGTGTAACTCTCATTTCAGCGGGGATCCAGCACTGCTTGGTCGGCGCTGGCGATGTGGGCTGTGGCGTGTTTGAGTGTTTCGAAAACAACTCGTGTGAGATCCGGGGCCTGCACGGGATTTGCATGACTTTCCTGCACAACGCTGGAAAATTCGACGCCCAGGTAAAAGCCTTAAGGAGCCGAGGGTGCCTGGGGTGGGTGCGTCACGGATGACATGGTGATTGGAAAGACATGCCAACCAGACAGGTTTCCTCCTCGGCTCAGCCGTGGTGCGTTCTGTCATCTGGAAGCGGCATTCTACAGTGTTTCCCCGAAAATAAGACATCCTCCGAAAATAAGACCTAGGGCATGGAAAGATAAGACATCCCCTGAAAATAAGACCTAGCACAACTTTGGGAGAAAAAATTAATATAACACACTGTCTTGTTTTTGGGGAAACAGGGCAGGTGGACGGCGGGGGCAGTGTCTCCCGCTCCTGCCCTGGACAGCTACTCTCTGGAGCTGTCATCTAGGCCAGTGGTCGGCAAACACATTGGTCAACGGAGCCAAATACCAACAGGACAACGATTGAAATTTCTTCTGAGAGCCAAATAAGAAGTTTAAACTTCTTCTAACGCCACGTCTTCAAAATAGACTCTCCCAGGCCGTGGTATTTTGTGGAAGAGCCACACTCAAGGGGCCAAAGAGCCGCCTGTGGCTCTCGAGCCGCAGTTTGCCGACCACGGACCTGAGGTGTCTTAGCCAAGAAGACAAAGGTCACGATAAAGCCTGCAAGGAGGCTCATCATGTCAGGCCCATCACATTAGGAGCATGAGGTTGAGGAGGGAAGGGCGGAGAAGTCGATTATACATTCCACAAGTTATTCTGCAGGAGACACAGCACCGGAAGAACCCCCCGCCCCCCGTGGGTGTGGGAGCAGGCAGTATGGAGAAGCCGGGGCCCCCACACCAGCAGCCCCTCCGCTCCCAGCCTGAGAAGCCGAGGCGATGCGAGCGGCTGGCCATGTTACGCGGTGTTTTGCTCCATATAATAAATATAGGCAGGGCCTGACCCACTTTGGCGGTGCCAGCTCCCGAGGGGAAACCCGGCCGCACGGGGCCGGAAAAGAGCCCGCAGGCGGCCTGTGGCTCCCGTGCTGACCGCCCGGATGCGTTTCCGATGGCGTGAGGCTCGCCATCCTCGTGTCCTCGCCCGCCTCTAAGCTGGGGGTGGGGAATGTCCGGCCCGAGGGCCGTAGAAGGCCCGGGAAGTCATTCCGTCTGGCCCTGCCAAGGGATGAGCTAATTAAATGTCTGACCAGACACAGCAGGCTAACTTCTAAGGTGACAATGTTGTACGGCCCTCCGACGATGTGATAAATATCCAAACGGCCCTGGGCAGAAGAAAGAAGAAGAAAAAAGGTTCCCCACGCTGCTCCAGACCCACGGGACACCCTCTGCCATCGTCTCTCACAAACCTCCTCTCCCTGTCCCCGGAGGGTGAGGACAGCGTTAGGATGGGGCCGGCGGTTCCGGGGGATTGACAAACGTGACCATCACCATCCCCTGCCACCCTGTGGGGAGCCGGACAGAGCAGAGCCTGGGACGCAGAGAGGGGTGCGGCCGGCTGGCAGGCTGCCCGGCAGAGGGTGTGGGGCGGCCGGAGGGGAAACAGACACCCCCAGGCCCCGCGCCTCTGAGCTCCCGGAGGCTCCCTGCTAACACCGCCCCGCTGGGTTCAGGGCGATCAGGCGGCGCAATGGGAAATCCGGAACGGCTGTCTCAGGGCCCTCCCCCGGGACGTCAGGGAGGAGCCCGGGGGGAGGACAGCCGGCCACAGCCCTCGCGACATGCATCTCCCCTTCGGTTCTCGGGTCAGAAGCTTCCCTTTCCAGCCCCTTCTCAGTGCGGGACGACTCCATGAGCTAGCACGCCCTGCCCTCCGCACCACTCGAGGCCCACGGAGAGGCAGGGGCTTGGGGGGGGGGGGCGGGGGGGCGGGGGCGGGCGGTGTGCAGAGACGAGATGCTGCTATCTGTAGACCTCTCGGTGGCTTCGGGGGGAGAGAACCGGAATGAACATGCTGGCTGGCTTCCCAACCCCAACGCCGCTCCTCCCGGGCCTGGCTGAAAACAGGGGTGACCTCTCAAGGACAGCTCGTTTCTACAGGAAAGGGGGTGCGGCATGGCCGGGTGGTATCCCACAATGCCCCTGTGCCCCCGAGGCTGGTGAGGGAGCTGACTTGCAGGCCGCGCGCCTCCACACCCCCAACAGCTGTCTCCTTTCTAGGAGCAGAGCGCCCTCCTGGCTGCCAGGAAAGAGGAGAGAGGGCCAGATGTACGCAGGGCTCCCAGGCAGGCTGGGGAGGGGCTGCCCGGCCAGATGCTGCCAGGCCGGGTGCCAGGCTGGCCTTTCAGAGGCGGTCATCCTCCGTCCTCGCATCACTTTCAGGAAGGAAAAGGATGCTTCTCCTCCAATGAGGGGGACCCGGGCGTGTGTGTTGGGGTGCTGGGAGGCACGGAGGCAGGACAGGCCCGGTGGGCGGTCCCCCTCGATGTCACTCCCGCGCTCAGAGGACTGACAGCGGGAGATTTGGACAAGCAGGCACCTCCCACTTGGGGAAACGCTTGCTGGGAACCACCAAGGAGTTTGGGATCTCCGTCCCCTTGTGTCCCAGAAAAGTTGCCACAAAGCAGCCACCCTGGTCCGCCTGCCTCGGGGGACAGGCGGCTCCGACAGCCCCCGCATGAAGGACCAAGTAGAAGGAGGCAGGCCTGTGAGTCCCCGCCAATGACAGCCGCTGCGGCCAAACACCGGAGGCATCCGGCCGCTCTGGACGCTCCTCAGGGGGAAGCCTCCGCCTGTCCCCTGCCAGGGGGTCCGGGTGCAGTGGGCAGAACGCCCTGGGTGAGCCCCCGGGCCCCTGTCCACACGTGTGACCGGGCCTCCCGTCTCCCGGCCCCTCCTCTCCCCGTGCTCCGTCCGCAGGGCAAGTCCTTCATCAAAGACGCGCTGCGCTGCAAGGCGCACGCCCTGCGGCACCGGTTCGGCTGCATCAGCCGGAAGTGCCCGGCCATCCGGGAGATGGTGCTGCAGCTGCAGCGCGAATGCTACCTCAAGCACGACCTGTGCGCGGCCGCCCGGGACAACACCCGCGTGATGGTGGAGATGATCCACTTCAAGGACCTGCTGCTGCGCGAGTGAGTGCTCCCCGGCCCTGGGTCTGGGTGGCCTTGGGGTCTGGGTGGCCCTGGGTCTGGGTGGCCTTGGGGTCTGGGTGGCCCTGGGTCTGGGTGGCCTTGGGGTCCGGGTGGCCCTGGGTCTGGGTGGCCCTGGGTCTGGGTGGCCTTGGGTCCGGGTGGCCCTGGGTCCGGGTGGCCCTGGGTCCGGGTGGCCCTGGGTCCAGGTGGCCCTGGGTCCGGGTGGCCCTGGGTCTGGGTGGCCCTGGGTCCGGGTGGCCCTGGGGTCCAGGTGGCCCTGGGTCTGGGTGGCCCTGGGTCCGGGTGGCCCTGGGTCTGGGTGGCCCTGGGTCCGGGTGGCCCTGGGTCTGGGTGGCCTTGGGGTCTGGGTGGCCCTGGGTCCGGGTGGCCCTGGGGTCCAGGTGGCCCTGGGTCTGGGTGGCCCTGGGTCCGGGTGGCCCTGGGTCCGGGTGGCCCTGGGTCTGGGTGGCCCTGGGTCCGGGTGGCCCTGGGGTCCAGGTGGCCCTGGGGTCTGAGCCGTGTGTAGGGCGGGCCTCTCCCACCGGATGGGGGTGGAGGGGGGAGGGGGGTGCGTTTACCTCTGAAAGCTGCCCGGCTCCCCTGGGCCCGCCTTTCCTGTTGACCTTCAGGAAAAGCGCAAGCAATTGGCACCATCGGCTCCAGAATCGTGAGCCACAGAAACAGGAAGCCCTTTTCCTAAGCACGAAACGGGGGGGATTCAGAAAAGCCCTTCGCCTTCCCCTCGGCCACTACCGCCCGGTCTCTGAGCGTCCCGGTAGCTCTGCGGGCGCCCGGCAGCCCACCGGCAGCGAGTACCACCCGCCCGGCTTTTCCCGAGGGCCAGGCCCGGGGCTCAGGGCTTTCCGTGAACTTCTCACTGGATCCTCGCAATAGCCGGGTTCTCGTACCGTCCTTATGCCCATTTTACAGATGAGGAAACTGAGGTTCGCGGAGGGCAAGGTCCCGGGCAGGGAGAGGCAAAGCCAGGATTCCAGCCGGGCAGTCCGGCTCCAAAAACTGCGCTCTCCCAGGCCACGTGCGAGAGCCGCTTCTCTTTCCCTGCCCCCACCCTCTCCTGGCCCTCACCAAGTCCAGCTCCCGCCTCTAGCGCAGGAACGCCCTCCCCGGGAAAATGGAAAGCAAAGTCAGAAAGTCCCAGCAGCCAAACCCCTCTGCCAGAGAGGAAACACAGACTGGCGTATGCAGAGGCCCGACATTCCGTAATAAACCCCGGGAATCCCACTCCTTAAAAAGCAGGCCATTGCTAGGGTCCCAACGCTTGCAGAGGGTGAAGCCGGGCGACACGGCTGTGCCAGCCCGGAGCGTGGTCTGTAGTCCCGAGTGCCGCCGGCCCCTTCCCCCGGGAAGGAGGAGCCGGACAGCAGGGCCGTCAGTGCCAGCTTGCCGGCCGCTGCTCCTCACACAGTACACACGGGGCTGTCGGGAGGGCTGTGTGAACTCTGGCTCCTTCGTTCATGGCATGCCTCCCTCCCCCGCCCCCCCGGCTATGTCCACCCCCCCACACACCACCTAGATCTGGGGGCAGCACCCTCTGTCGCTCTCCGCGCGTCACAAGGGTCTAGGGCTCCGGCCACGCCCGGTGTCTGTCGCCCAGGATCTCTCCACGGGCAGCTTCTGACGAGAGCAAGGCGGTGACGCCCTTTCTCTGCGACACGAATGCCTGACGGGTTCTTTCTACCCTTCAAATACCTGTGCCGAGGCCAGCGACCGCGGCATCGACAATAACAGCCGGAGTGACGGACGTGCCGTCCGCTCTGAGGGGCCAGGCCCCGGGCCAGGCGCTTTCCCTGGACCTCTCCGTTATCTCTCCCCACGAGACCGAGCTCACGGCCCCATGTAGCTGCGGGGGAGCGAGGCCAAGAGCGGAGAGACCTCCCTCCGGGGTTAGATTCCTCCTTTCCAGCTGGGGACTTGGTGAGACGCAGGCCTGAAGCCGGCTGTCGGAACAGACCCCAAACGTCCTTGCTCCTGACCTGTCCTGGCCTGTCTCCCCCTGCCCCCGAACTGTCAGAGGTTCACTGGTGCCCCTTGAGGCCAGGGTTTCCCCTCTTCCCGGACCCAAGGAGAGCGCTGTGAACGGCCTCCTCAGAGTCCGGGAGAAGCTGGCACTGTGTGGCTGAGAAACTCGGGTGCTCATTTGTCCTAAACCCGCGTTCCATAGAGACAGCATGTTGGCCAGAGGAGCTGGTCTGTAAATCTGCCCTATGGTCCCGGAGCCAAGAGGCTGTCTTTTTGGAGAAATGTCTTGGTTCAGAAAACTACAGGGGGTTTTTTGTTTGTTTCTGTTGTGTTGCTTTTTGTTTTTCTTTTTTTAAATATATTTGTATTGTTTTCAGAGAGGAAGGGAGAGAGAAAGAGAAGCATCAATGATGCGAGAGAATCATTGATCAGCTGCCTCCTGCACACCCCACACCTGGGGACTGAGTCCGCAACCTGGGCCTGTGCCCTGACCAGGAACTGAACCATGACCTGCTGGTTCATAGGTCGACACTCAACCCCTGAGCCATACTGGCCTGGCAGAAAACTGCAGGTTTTAAAGCCCCCCCCGCCCCCCCCACACACACACCCACACACACACACACCGCCTTCACGTTTGAGAAGCAGCAAAGCACTGTGGCTCTCTGGAGTCCCCTTCCTCCTGAAGGGCTCCTCACATCATTGAGAACAACCTCGGGACCCCCTCCCCACCCCCAGCCTGCTGTGGAAATGCAGGCCGGCATCCCGCAAGGAAGCCTGGGCCTCCATTAAGAACACTCCCTGCCCGGGACCAAGTGCCTGGCCTCCTTCTAAGCCAGCCCCCCCCCCCGACCCCCACTGCTTCCCCTCCCCCCCACTGCCTCTCTCCCCCCCTCCCCCGCTGCCTCCCCTCCCCCCCCGCTGCCTCCCCTCCCCCCTCCCCCGCTTCCTCCCCTCCCCCCACTGCCTCTCCTCCTCTAGCCACAACAGTGTGGCCCCTTCACTTGTGTGAGCATCTCAGGTTCTGTGCACCCTAACGGATTGGGGTGCAGAGGATCTCAGTCCCCCCAAAGCGAGAAGACATTGGAGCATGGCTGGCATTGGCCACAGCCGAGAGAAATGAGCGCTGAATTTGCTTCCTGCTTTACAGGGGGCGAAATCGCAGTCACCCCCATTCTCCCCCCGCATCCCTATCGCCCCCAAACACCGTCACCCCCTCACCTCCCTTTCGCCTCAGCCACCACTCCTCACCCCGTCGCTGGGTGCTGGCGGCCTCCAGGCCCGTCCCCGCTCAGTATTTTTAACCTCCGCGGCCCCCTGACGCCCAGGCCGGACGGAGAGCTGGGCTTCACCATCAGACACGGCGAGGAGGCACGGCGCCAGCCAGCCGGCCAGGAGCGCAGCTCTGATCAGCACACGTGTCCCCCCACCCACACCCCGTACACCCCTCCCGCCCAGCCCTCACAGCTCAGGGCGGGGAGGAGCACGCCGCTGGCCCAGCCTTCCCGGGTCCACCTCGGGTTCTGAGGCCATCGGCAGGCCCACCACGCTGGCGAAGGAGGGAAGGAAACGGGAAGAGGAGGCTGGTGCAGCCCCCAGAGGCCAGGCACGCTCCCTGCAGTTTGCTCCGGAGCCCAGAGACGTGGCAGGGACGGGCAGGACTGCCAGGCAGACGCACTCGGTGAACTTGAGCTCCCCGAGGCGGTCTAGACCTGGTTTTCAGAGGCAGAAGGAACTGGCACGAGTTGTCCATTTCCCCTGTGCCGCCCTGTGCCCGCTCTGCTCAGTGTCATCACTGTCCTCCTCACCCCTCCCATCAGCCATGCACACAGGCACCCCCCCCCCCAAAAGCATCTCCCCTCCACGCTCAGCCCAGCCCCACGCTCCCCAGGCCCAGAAGCTTCCAAAAGCCACCTTCTCCCCACCTCGAACCCACGTTCCCATCTATGAAATGAGGACTGTTCCCTCAATTACAACGTGAGGACTGACTCTCCAAAATGGCGATACACTGCTCCCCAAGCCTCACCCAGTCTGCCCAGCCACCGCGGCCAACGGGCATAGGAAGCAGTAAGTGGCTAACCACAGCCACGTGGCCCAGGCTCACAGGGAGAAAGCCGTGGTCCTTCGAAGCGACCTCGCGGTCCAGAGGGCTTTCCCTGCCCGAGGGGACGGCCCGGAGCTGCGATGCTCACGGGCAGAGAGACCCAGAAACTGCCGGCCGAGGGCTGGCTCCCTCAGGATGCTGGTGAGCCACATGCAACACTCCACACCCGCCCTGGGGGTGGAAGAGGCCAGTGAGGGGTGAGAAAGGCTCGCTGTGGCTGTGCCAGGAGAGACCGTCGCTGGGACACCTCTCCCAGCCGGGCCGTGAGGATCAAGAGCGGGCACACTGCCCCCGCTGCCTGCACCAGCTCCCGGCCCCGGAGCAAGGCTCCCGGAGGCGCTCATTCCTCCTCTTTCCTGCAAGAAAGCCCCGCGGCGGCTGGAAGGGCCCGGGCTGCGGCGCGTCCCTCCCGAGCTGCACCTGTTGCTCCCGCAGACAGCTGGCTCTCATTGCAAACCCGCCGCCCCCGCTCCGGGAGAGCCAGGTGGGAAGACGCTCAGGCGGCCAGCCCCGCCCTCGGGGACGTGACCTCCCGGAAGCGGCCTGCCCCCACCCTCCCCACGGGGTCAGCTCCTCCAGGTGCACAGCGGGTGCCTCCAGTAACTCCCCGCCCCCCTTCTTCACCGGGGCCCACACAGACACGGGGACATGTGTCTGGGGAGCTGAGCTGGGGGAAGGCTTGTCTGCGAGAGCAACCCCAGAGCAAGGCCAGCCGGCCCTGCGATGCCATGTGCCAGGGGCCGGCCTGCCGCGCCTCCAGCCCCAAAGCTGCGGAGCGCCCCCTCTCTCACCAAACAGGCTCCCCGCTTTGGTTGTGGGTTTGTTTGTTTTTTTAATTATTTTTATTTTGTTGTTAATCCTCACCAGAGGATATTTTTCCATTGGTTTTTAGAGAGTTGGAAGAGAGAGGGAAAGACGGAAGTATTGATGTGAGAGAGACACATCGATTGGTTGCAGGGATCAGGGCCCTGGCTGGGAAGGGCCTGCAACCAATATACATGCTCTTGACCGGAACTGAACCCGGGACCCTTCAGTCCGCAGGGCGACGCTCTATCCACTGAGCAAAACCGGCTGGGGCCCCTGCTGGGTATTGAAGACCCTGTTCCACCTGCCTAATGGTCACTCCTCTGGCCTCCCCAACCCCAGACCCGTGGCCATGCCCACCAGAGCTTCCTGCTTAGCAAACTCCCAGCATGCCCAGCGCTGCCCGCCCTCCCAGCACTGTCCGCACAGCTGCACCCTCACCGGCCTTCCCAGAGGCGCCGCCCCCCGTCCTGCGCACCTGTGTACTGTCAGGCCCGTGTCCTGGGTGGCTTCTGTCTGGGCCTCTCGGTCCCTCTGAAGCCTGGCTGGGGGGCCTGGTACGTCCAGGAACAGGTGGTTGCAACCAGGTCTCCGTGGAAGATGGGTAGAGGCAGGAAGTAATTGCAGAAAGCTCTTCTCCGCCTCCCCTGCCACGGTCCCGGTGCGCGGAGCCGCGGGGCTGGTGGCATGGGCGTCTTCTCTCCGCTCTGCCCTCTAGGCCCTACGTGGACCTGGTGAACCTGCTGCTGACCTGCGGGGAGGAGGTGAAGGAGGCCGTCACCCACAGCGTGCAGGCGCAGTGCGAGCAGAGCTGGGGCGGCCTGTGCTCCATCCTCAGCTTCTGCACCTCAGCCCTGCAGAGGCCGCCCACCGCGCCCCCCGAGCGCCACCTGCAGGCGGACCGGGCCAGGCCCCCGCGGGCCCACCACGCGGAGCCCAGCAGCGGGGAGACCGGCCGAGGCCTCGCCAAGGGCGAGCGGGGCAGCAGGAGCCCCCCGAACGCCCACACCCGGGGCCGGGCTGCAGCCCGGGGGACACAGGGGATCTCGGGGAGCAGCGAGTGGGAGGACGAGCAGGCGGAGCACGCTGACATCCGGAGGTGAGGCCGGAGGCCTGGCCAGGAGACCGTTCCTCCACGCCGTCCGGGTCCTCCTCTGTGGACACCCCAGGGCCTTTGCCACGACGGACAGACATGGATGCCGCGCGCAGGACCAGGAGGGGCCTGCGGACTGGATGCCGGGGGGGCATCAGTGGCATCAGCAGGCGGCAGAGACTCCCCAGGGCAGCGAGGACTCGGGGGGCCAGCGGGGCCCGCACTTGCGCCTTGAGGAGGGGCCGTGCCACGTGCGCTCCGAGCTCTGTCCTCTCTCCGTGCGCAGAGCACCGGGCGCCCGGGGGTGGCGGTGGCCCCCGGGGCTGGACCAGGCGGGAGGCGGCGGGCTCCAGGGCAGGCAGGGGCCTGGAGGCCTCGCTGGGGGAGAGCAGGGTGCAGAGGAGACAGGGGCCCTGTGGGTGCCGGGTGCCAGATGGGAATGGAGCGTCTTGCACAGGGCCTGGAGGTCTGGAGCTGCTTTCCAGGGGAGGACGAGGGTTTCAGGGTCACTTCTGAGCCGGCGGGGGAACCCCGGCCGAGGGTGAGGCCCCTGGTGAGTGCGTATCGTAACCACTGCTTCGAGTCTCGATTTCACTTCTTATTTATCTAGTCACATCTACCTATCTGTCATCCAAATAAATGGCTTTCAAACCAAGCAGCTGGGCCAGTGGTCGGCAAGCTCATTCGCCAACAGGGCCCAATGTCCACAGTCCAACGACCGAAACGTCTTCGGAGAGCCACATTTTGTAAAATTAAACTTCTTCTAACGCCACTTCCTCAACATTGACTCGCCCAGGCCGTGGTGTTTTGTGGAAGAGCCACACTCACGGGGCCAAAGAGACGCCTGTGGCTCTTGAGTTTGCTGACCACGGAGCTGGCTCGCTCAGAGGAAAGACAAACAGAAGCTACAGCCCATCTTTGGGGCGTACGCTGTGTTTTTCAGTGCTGTTGTAAGAGGAATTCCAGAGCCACGTCACTGTCCATCTTACCTCCCGGGGAGCTCATCACCGCTCAGGGCGAACCTCACACACAGAGAAGACGCACGCCCTCAGCATCTCGGCATCTCCCAGGACCCCCACCAGCCTGGATCCCGGGAGGCCACGCTGCGAAGCCGGCCCCTCCGCGCTGGAGGATGGGCAGCGGGAGAGAGGCGAGGGCGCTGGTAACTCCCAACGGGGAGCTCCGGCCTTTCACACTCACCGAGGGGGCCAAACGCCTGCAGGCCAGGCCTCTCCAGATCCAGCTGGCCATTCAGCGGCGAGGAGAGGAGGCAGAGTGGGCCGGAGACAGGCGGGGAGGAGGGACAGAACCGAAGCTCCCCAGAGGCACGGATCAGAACCATTTCCCGCAGTTCCTTCCAGTGCGCCAGACAGAGGCCTTTTCTTCCCTCGGCGGACGGGCGAGAGCGAGAGGGAGTCCCTTCAGCTGCCAGCACTCCACGCGGAGCCCGGCTGGCGAGCAGGGCAGGGCTCCGGGCCAGGCCCTCCAGAGCAGGCCGCAGGCTTTCTCTGCGGATCCCGAGAGCCGATGCCCGGATCTCAGCATGGCCAGGCTCAGCGTGGCTGGGCTCCGGGCTGCTGTTGCGGCCGCCACGTGGCAGGAAAGCAAGCAGGCCCGGCCACACCGCACAGGCCTAGCTCACGCCGATACAACCAAACAGGCGCCCAGCTGGATTCGGCTCGTGGGCCCGGGTTGTCTGATCCCTGGTCCAGTGAACAGGCAAAAAATATGCATCCCCCATGCCTAACAGCTCCCAGCTGGCCCTGAGAGCAGCAGCGAAGGCCAGAGATAAGCAGACGGAATGGAACCACTCCAAAATGACTGGCTGCAGGGAACGGCCGAACCCGGAGCTCAGCCGTGTTTCTGTGCCCGATCACTGCTGCCCGGACACGGTGCCGGAGGGTCAAACCCCCCCCCCCCCAGTCCTTCAGGGCCCCTGCTAGGTCCTGGGGGGAGAGGGACGAATTGCTGGAGAAGCACCAACGAAGAGCGGGAGCTGCAGAAGCAGAGGCAATGCCGCACTTCATCCGGCTCTGCCCAAGGGTGGGGGGAGGCTTGGCATGTTGGGCTCTGCCACGGGAACCGAGCGTAAACCGTGACCGGCTCATGCCACGGGCCGCGGCAGCACGCCGGCCGAGCTCCCTGCGTCTCCCTCGCTGCTGGGCCGGCTGCTCATCGGCCCGCTGGCGGCCGGGCTGGGCCGGGAAGGCCTCCCGTGGCCGTGGCCCTCAGTGTCCACGTGTCACGTGCTGCTCTTGTGAGCATCTGTCTGGTCCCGGTGTCTTCCCCCGAAGGCGTGACATGGCTCACGTGTCCCTCTCGCTGTCCTTCCTGCCGCTGCTGTCCTCCTGCTCCTCGGTCAGACAGCCAGCCTCTCACTCCGGCCCCGCGGGCTCTGAGGCCGCCGGGAGTCCCCATGGCGAAGGTTCTTCTGCTCCAAACCGCGCAGAGCCCCCATTCCCACGCGCTGGCAGGCGGGCGTGTACAGCGGAAGCCGGCAGAGCCGTCCTTAAAAATAGCGCGGCGCCCGGACGGACGGCGGACGTCAGACACGTCTTCTCCGAGCCCCTGGAGGAAGGATGTGACTTCCAAATCCAGACGCGGTGTTTATTTTGAGCTCCGCACCCTCCTGAGAGGATCTGGACACCTCTGCTTTGTGTCGACAAGGAGCCCTGGGAGGCTGACACGCAGAGCTACAGGAACGGCACCCCGGTCCGGACCTGCCGCCGCCTTCTTTCTCGCACGGAGACGCAAAGGCCCGCAGCGGGCGCTCCTCCGCCAGGGTCTGGGCCAGCCGTGCTCCGGCCGCTTCCCGAGAACCAGCCACAGAGCCGGCCCCGCCCGCTGAGCCCTCCGTCTGTGTGGGCAGCGGGGCCTGGCCCTGGTCGCCCGGCCTGATCGCCCCGGAGCAGCAATGAGGGTGTAAATAAATGGCTCCCACTCGCGCACAGTCATGTCTGCGAGGGCTTTGGGCGTCCCTCGCGAAGGGGGAGGCTGCACACAAGTGGGCCTCGGAGTCCCTGGAAAACGCCGGACACTCAGTGTACAGGGAGGGGAGCCGGGTGAAGGCGCCCCCGGGGCGTCCCCTCCATCGAGGGACGCTGTCCAAACCTGGGGTCACCCAGGCCCGGGGGAGCTCGAGCACCAGGAGGCCCCGTGCTCTCTCTGTCTCCCCTTCAGGGGGCCTGGCCGCCTGTCCGCTCAGACTGAGTCTGCGCAGAGGCCTCTGGGCTCAGAGCTCAGCGGCCAGGCCCGGGCAGGGGAGCTCGCCGCCTCCGCCCCCCGCTCCCTGGCTCCTGTAGACGAGGCCCCTCGCATCCATGATCTCATCCTGTGTCCCTCAAGCCTCAGGCGTGACCCCATTTTCCAGGTGAAGAAACCGAGGCATAGGAAGGTCGAGTGACTTGTCCCCAACCGTGTGCCTCGCGGGCGGGGGTCTGAACTCAAACCCAGCTCGGCGACGCTACGCCCGCACGCCTCTCCTCACCACAGGCCCAGATCTGCTGCACTCGGTTTATTTCTAACGTAAAGGACCCGCATCGCTCCTGTTTCCCACGAGGCCGCGAGGAGAAACAGTTACGCTCTGTTCTAGCACCGGCCTCCGAGGAGTCCTGCCCCCGGACAGAGAGGGAAACAGCTCGCCTTCCTCTGCAGAGACGCAGACCAGGGAGAGCGAGGAACTCGAGCATCTCCCCGCTCCCTGTGCGTGTGAGAGTCCTTCCCAGGCTCTGCCTGTGCCGCTGAGGAGGGCATTTGGGCAGCCGCTGGCTCTGTGACTCCGCTGGGAGGCTTTCTGCTCTGCCCGTCTTAGCAGCGGCTCCCCTAACCTCACCCCCGTCACCATCCTCGCCCTGACAGAGCCATCGTGTGCCCCAGGTGCTGCTGTGCTGTGCAGGTATTATTTCTGGGCCCCGTTTTACACGTGAAGAAACTGAGGCTCCCGGGCATCGTCATACGCCTGGAAGGGGCGCACTCTGCCTCTTACTCAGCAGCCTGCACCCCAGGTGTGAGGACCGGGGCCTCCCCAGCCCTGCTCGGCCCCGTCCGCCAGGAAACGACAGGCTGCGGGAGCAGAGCACAGAGGGCGTCTGACCGGCCGGCGTCTAAGCAAAGGAGGCTGCAGCTGTGCAGCCCGAAGTCGGGAGACAGAAATCTGAATGTGTTCTAAAGCCCCTGGCCCCGGGGCGGGTTTTGTGTGAAATTATCCTCCGAGGGCAGAGAGCCAGCCTGGCGCTGCTGCTTGCACAGCAGTCGCGTCTCCCTCACTCCCCACAAAGCACACAGAAAGCCACTCCCTAAAGAGAACTGGGGCGCGGAGGGGGGTGCTTAGGGGGCACGGGCATGTCTGGAATCGGTGAGTGGGCGTCAAACTTAAAAATCACTGGAAAGGCCTGGCTGGTGTGGCTCAGGGGGTGAGCATCGACGGGTGAACCAGGAGGTCACTGATTCAGTTCCCGGTCAGGGCACTTGTCTGGGCTTCGGGCTCCATCCAGAATTATTAAATAAAAATAAATATGTATTTTAAAATCACTGGGAAGGCTGCCATTTTGGAGTCAGAAGACATAGACAGAAACACCAACCCAGACCCCTAGCTTGCACCAGGTAAATCTCTCTCTCTCTCTCTTTGTTTTCTCTTTAAATAATGACTGAAAAAAATAAATCAGGGTTGGTCCTGAGATCTTGGTAAATTAGTTAAGTTTTCTAAGCCTGTTCCCCCCTCTACGAAATAAAGATGCGCACCGCTAGCCCGCGCCCCTCCCCAGGCACGGGGGATGCAGTGACTGAAGCTATGAGTGTGTCACAGAGCGTGGTGGTCCCTGAGGCCCCAGTGCCTCCGGCATCCTTCCCCTGGTTCTGCACAGCCGCCGAGCGCATGCGGGACCAGCTGCACATCCTTCCCTGTCTGAAGGCCAGGACTGAGGACCAGGGGGGACCCTCACGAGCTGGGAGAGGGCCCCATGCGGCTCTCCGATGCCCTGGCTCTGGCCAGATGTGAGTTCCAACAGGAGCCCCGATGGCCAGCAGGCCGGACAGCGATGGGCCTCGGGGGAGCACAGGGCCCTCCCACAGGCTGGGCACACCTCCGGGCGAGGCACCCGCAGAACAGCCAGTCCGCAGCCCTCCTTCCCGGGGAAGGAACTCGGAGCAGCCAGAGCCACTCTGCTGCCAGCGCCTTGCAGCCTGACGTTTGGAAAGAGCCGGCCTGGGGGAGCCAAGCACTCCGGACAGGGCTCCTTCCGGCTCCGGCTCCGGGAGGGTGCCGAGGGGAGCCGGAGGAGGAGGAGGAGGAGAAGGAGGAGGAGGAGGAGGAGGAGAAGGAGGAGGAGGAGGAGGAGGAGGAGGAGGAGGAGGAGGGGAGTGACTCAGCTGAAACGAAGAGAAATGTATTTTTAAAGAGCGCCAGGATGAAAGGCACGAAGCGCCGGCCCAGGACGGGGTCCAAGTGCCTTCTCAGCGGAAGTGGGCGAGTTTGCAAACAGCCAGAGCGCTCGCTGGGGTTCCGAGACCAAGAATAACACATGGGAACCAAGAGCCGCTTCTGGGCCTGCCAGGCGGCGGGGGCTGGGGTGGGGCCTGCACACGTGGCTCCTCGGTAGGCTCTGCAGGCGGAGAGGGTGCTGACCCGGAGGAGGGGGTGACACCCCTCGGTCAGGC